CTTAGGAATGTTTATTTTATAATTATTTATTAACTACGTGCATAGGTATTATGCACTTTTCTGTATGTATTATATTTCACAGTGAAGAAAAATCTTAAAACTGTTATACAAGTTTTCTTTCCACAAAATTAACTTCAGTTTCTGGCTCCAGCTTCTTTGCTGGAATAACTGCTTATGAGATATACCTCAAATGAATTTCATGTGGTTGCTCTCCCTGTAATCTTAACTTGGAATCCTTTCTTTCTTTAAAAAAATTTTTTTAAGTCTAAGTAACTCATCCATCGGTGGTTACACTTACACAAGTTTTGCAGAAAACACAGTTTTTATTTTTTTAAGTCAATTGTTGAAAATACCATTCAAAGATGTATTAGAGAAAAAATACCTTCTCTACTATAGCTTTCCTTTGGCAGCTCACAGAATTGTCACTTTAAAATGCATCTCATTATTGAAACACAATCTAGTAAATACCGCACTGAAACAGAATCTATCCAATACCATAATGTGAGACATATTAAAAACATCTGTGCTTTCCATTTAACATTATAGTAAACTTCCCACATTGTGTAACATGTTCCAATACTTGTGTCATTAGGTCTTTAGCAATGTTTTATATGCATATTCTCAAGGTATTTGCTGTCAAAGGAATGCAGTTTCTTTTTTCCATCTGTGTTCCATGTGTTATTTCAAACATTTTTATCTTCACAAGAAGAAAACTATTTTCCCAATGGTATGTTGCTTTTTGACTTTTTATTTTTAAGGAAGCTCAGAAAAGACTTCATAGCATTTATAATTGGTGAATTTTCTTTAAAGTATTGGCTTGAATCATACACTCCTTAAATATTTTAGAAATATTGTTGAGCTTTATGAGTTTGGATGTCTACTTTTTAAGTTGTTAGCTAATAGTGATCAGTTCAGAACATCATTATCTGTAATACATACTTTGGGTGAAGATGTTAGTAAAAGTAAATATAAATTCATACTTAAAACAGTTTTAGAAATAATTTTAACTATCATTGCCAACTTCTTGTCAGATCTAATTAGTCATTAGTTTTTAATCTTGCAGTGTGGCTCCAAAAAGGGTGCCAGAAATGTCAGCTCAGCCCATTGTGTTTGCCTGTTCTTGCATTATTAACACTGTCTCCACTGATCCATGCTATAATAGTTTACTTAAATATGATCTATAAATCCATTTAGTTAGATACAGAAACTGCAACATGTGGCAATATGTTAAAAGTGAACAAAGGAGAGAGTCCTCCCCTCCCCACACAGTGAGCGTCTGTGCTACCACCCTCTCCCCCGAGCACCCTGAGTGCCTGCCTACTTAATGGATCAAGTTTGGGGTGCCACTACCAATCCTCACATTAAATATTAGTAGGGCTTAATTTCTTTCCCTCTTTTTTTGCGGGGGGGGGAATATATATGTGTTTGAAGATAAAAGTTCAAATATCTTTTCTGGAATTTCAGGGGTCAACTTCTGTATCTTACACTCATATGTGGGTACATTTTATCTGGGGATAAGAACATCTATCAGAATGAATATGAAACAGTGGCATTCCAGCCAGGAAAATAGAAAAACATACTGTTTGGGCTGGAGGACCTTCCTTGTGTGTTCTGCAGTGACCTTGAAGTTGGAGGACATATGATAATCCAATTTGTTACACCCTGGTAAAAGTGCAAACAAACAGACAAACAAACACTTAATGCTACTAATGAGGGAAACTACAAATATATAAACCAAATAAAAATTGTACATAAAAGAGAATTGATTATTTAAAAAGTAGTCTTAAGATAATTATGAAAAGAATCTTTAAGATATCAAGAAATGGACCATCTGTAACACTGTATTAGCCAAGATAAGTAATACTAGCTGCTGTAATAATTGACCCCAGAATGTCTGGCTTAACTCAATAAAGATCTATTTTCTCACCCATATCACAGTACAAAGCATGCTGTGAGGGGGCTCTGCTGTAACTAGTCATTCAGAGACTCAGGCTTCTTCTAAGCTGCAGATCAACACATGGCTTCAAGGTTGACCCGGCTTCATCCAGTTGGTAGATGGATGGATGAAAAAAAGTGGAGAAGGTCCACCTTCTCTTAACTGCTCAGCAGGGATCATATTTTACTAGTGAGAACTAATCACATGGCCCTATCTACATGCAAAAACTTTGGGAAATGTACTTTATCTATGGGTTCCGGAAGCGGACATGGGTTTGGTGAGCATCTAGACAGGCTTCTGTCATATAAACAGAGGTTGGTCTAGGGATTCCAAAGCTATAACTTGAGTATCACCAGGTCTGACTTTGGAAATCCCTTGGGAAGCCTCTACCACTCTCTTTTCTGCCTGCTGTAATAAAGGAATCAGAACACCAGCACTAATTTTAGCTCTTGCTGTTCCCTGAATCAGCCACGATCTCCCACATCTCTACCTCTGCATGTGATTTGTATATGACGTCTGTCCATTCTTTCCACCAATACTTCTAACCACCGATTCCTCCAAATCTAGCAAGCTTCTCTTCATCTTCTAAGACCTAACACAATGGTTACTTCCTCCATGAACATCTCTCTGATGACACACAAGGCACATATCTCTTCTTAATGTTCACTGAACTTTATCCATGTACTTTGTTCCTACCTCTATTACTGAATGCATAAGCCTGTATTATAATTTTTAAGGAACAAGTATGTTTTCAAAAGGATTGGATGCATTAATATTCACAACATGGTGACCATTAATAATATTGAATAGATTTAGCTTCTCAAGGGTGAGGATAGAGTCTTATGTATCTTAGTATCTCCCATGCCTACCAGCACAGACCTGGCTCACATACTCAGTAACTGAGGAAAAAATGAACACTGTCTCCCTTCCTTCCACTTCCCAGCAACTCTAACTCTTAACTCTCTCTCTCTCATATATATATATATATATATATATATATATATAGTGGTAAAACACAAAATTTACCATTTTCACCATTTAAAAGTATACATTACTATATGCACCTTGTTTGCAACAGATCTTTTAACTTTTTCATCTTACAAAATGGAAACTTTATACTCACGGAATTCCCCATTTTCTATAGTGGTACACAAAATTTACCATTTTCACCATTTAAAAGTATACATTACTATATGCACCTTGTTTGCAACAGATCTTTTAACTTTTTCATCTTACAAAATGGAAACTTTATACTCACGGAATTCCCCATTTTCCTCTCCCCTCAGCCCCTTAAAACTAGCATTCTGCTTTCTGTTTATAAGAGTTTGACTGCCTTAGATACCTCATGTAAGTGGAATAAGCAGTCTTTGTCTTTCTATGACTAGCTTATTGCCCTGGAGATTCATTCATGTTGTAACACATGACAAGACTTCCCCCTTTTTTAAGGCTGAATAATATTTCATCGTATGTATATACTACATTTTTCTTTATTCATTCACCCATTCTAGTGTCTTTGTTTTCGACTTGTGGTTACTGGAGGGGATTGATGACCCCAGAGAAAAGGTGATCCTGTACTCTCAAAGATTTCAGGATGTTTTAGGTTCTAGAGACTAAAAGAGAAACTGTACTGAGTGCAAAGGAAATTAGATTTTTAAAAAATCAGTGACAACATAAAGAATGCCCCCCATTATACCCTATTTGAGCATGAGAAACTATTAAACTACTTTCAGTTGAGCAACCAAGGGCCCATAATAAAAAGTTGTTCACATTCCAAAGGGCTCTTACCCTAGGCTTTTCACTGTCCTACTCAGCACCTCCTGTTTCATACCCTCAAAATAGCTCGGTTGAGAAAAGAAACAGCAACATTTTAAAGTCGGGCAAAATAAATAAATAAATAAAGGGATAAACAAGAACTCTTTCAACACAGAGCACTTGTAAGAATTTTCATGTTTATGGAGAAGCAGAGCCCCAGAGTAAACTCTGGCCCTTCTTGGAATTAGTGGATTCCAGTGTTCATTTGCATTGAGGCAGTTTGAGGCCCTTTGGGGACATTCATAGCCTTTACTTCAGGGCGTTATCATGAAAGAATCTAAAGTATCCTTGCATTAGCATGATCGTTATTTTTTCAGCTGGTCTGAGGAGGTATTATTAAACATGTGGCCATAATGTGTACAGAAAAATCTCCACGTAAACTAGCATTTAGCATGTAAACACAAACACCTCACTCGTAACTGGTTTCTAAAACTATCATAATAAGAACCTCAACACTTAAAAAAAAGCAAAAAACCCTTAAATTTTTGGTAAAAGATGCCGAATATAGCTTGAAGTAGTAAATAATCCTTCTGAAGCGATATTAGCGAATTAATTGCTGCGTGAACAAAGAACCCTTTCTGCACCAGGATGAATGTTGCCTTTATTTTTTTCCTCACAAGTATGATTCTAGAAAACAGCTGTACTACATGTTGACAAATGACAAAGCGGCAGACTTGCTAAAACACTTTTTGGTCAAGGCCAAGAGGGGGAAAAAAAAAAAAATGGGGCTGCTGGAGCGGCCAGCGAGCTGGACTCCCAGGGAAGCTGGCTTCCCTCACCTCTTTTTTTTCCAGTCTTTAGGGAGCAGGGGCCTCACCGACCCACCCTCCCCTTTCCCGGCTCTGGTTACAGCCTGTCGAGTTGAACAAACTTGCTGCAGGCGGATTGGCGATCGGGAGCTCTCGGGCTGGGGCGTCGTATTTATTAATTTATATTCCGCGGCGTCCCGCGCGCGGGCCGCTCCTTTGTACCCGGCCGCCGCCGCCCAGGCTCCAGGGCCTCAGTGGGGAGCGCGGCCCCCTCGTCCTCCCGACCCCCAAGGCCGGCACGTGCTGCTCCCGCCAGCCCGCCCGCCCGGCCCGCCCGGCCCGCCAAGGGGGCGGAGGCCCGGCTTTTCTCCTACCCTCTCTGGGCCAGAAAGAGGAGGAGCGGCGGCGGCGGCGGTGGCGGCAGCAGCAGCAGCCGGAGGAGGCGACTGCTGCCCGGCCGAGGGAGAGCGGCGGAGCAGGGTTACGGCGTCCGGCAACGCTCGGCGGCCGCCGGGGAGGCGGGAGCGGCGCAGCCGGCCGGGATGTTCCCTGGCACTTCCTGACTGGCTGGCCGTGCGCACACGGCCAGACTCGCACGCCCTCGGTCCCCGTGGCTCGCTCGCTCGCTGGCTCGCGCGGGCCCGCTCTGCGTCGGCCGCGCAGCGGGGGAGGCGCGCTAGAGGGGACGCGGCCCGGCATGAGCTGATTGCGGGTGGATACGCCGCGGACGGGCTCCTAGAAGCCGTGAGGAGCCGCTTTTCTCCGAGTCGCCGCCCTACCCTTGGATTTGAGATCATGTATGTACGCGTCGCGGTCCTGCCATTGTCTCTACCCCAGCGCGTGCCGTGCGCCCCTGGGCGAGGGGCTCATGCCCATCCCCGCTGTGCGCTGTCCCCCGCACTTCCTGTTGGGATGAAAGAGAGCCTCGCGCTGACCACGCGCCTTTTCTCCCCCTCGCCCCCGTCTCTGCCGTGTAGGTCCATTCACATCGTGGCGCTGGGGAACGAGGGGGACGCGTTTCACCAGGACAATCGGTCGTCGGGGCTCATCCGCACTTATCTGGGGAGAAGCCCTCTGGTCTCAGGGGACGAAAGCAGCTTGTTGCTGAACGCGACCAGTACGGTAGCGCGTCCCGTGTTCACGGAGTATCAGGCCAGCGCGTTTGGGAACGTCAAGCTAGTGGTCCACGACTGTCCCGTCTGGGTAAGGGCCCGCAGCTGCTCTGTGCAGAGGCTGATGGAGCTTTCCTTTTCTTCCTTTCTCTCTTTTTTTTTTCTCCTCCCCCTGTTTCCCCTTTCATGAATGTGGACGTCTGGGTCACCTGGGGAGAGTTTTTAAACATTTGGGGGAAAATCTTTGGTCCTTCGTTTCATTGGGCAGGGGCCAGCCTAGTCAGAGAACACTCTTAGAAGGGAAAAAGCCCCAGTGGGAATGTGAAGCACTTAACGCGCACACTTCACGACTCTGGGTTGTCCCTTGGTAGACAGCTGACTGAATGTCCCAACCCCAAGGAACGAGGTCACTAAGTGTCACCAGCAGACAGCAATGTTTTTTCATGCCTACCCTGTGGGTGATATAAAATATTAGTGTTCTAAAAATAAAGGTCTCTGAAAGCTCAACACAGCAAAAATACATTTCACTGGGGCAGCTCAGAAATAGGACCCCTGGAAAGGGGGTGGGAAAGACAGGGACTGAAAATTAATTCTAAACAATTCTTTTATAGCACTATCCACCTTTGAAAAAATTTAATTAGTGTTTTTAATTTTAATAATGCAGATATTCTTAATATATTTAGCCATTTCTTTTAAGTGACCTGTAAATCAGAAATATTGCTAATACTGTTTTGGGACTTGAAAAAGCTTTAAAATTTGCTATAATTAAAAGAAATCGTAATGAAGTTGATAAATGCTAGTCTAATTCTTGAGTGATAAAAGAAGAAATCTACTCTCTGACATGTATAAATGTTTTCAGTACACAATAGCATCATGTTTTGAATGTTTTCATGTAATCTTACTCGAAAGTTTCTGATTCTTTACTAGTATAAAAGTTATGTTGCAGCTAAGTATTATATTTTATAACAGAAGAAAGTTTAATGTCTAAAAAAATACAGATATCATTATGTGAGATTTACATTTAAACTGCACTTTAAGAAAACCGAATTAGAGACTATAGGGAACTAATACACCTTTCCAAAGAAATGTATAGAATGTACATAAAAACATTTCTTATGCAAATTTCCATATTACTGAAAGAAAAGATCACTTGCCCAAATAAATTTTCAGCTAAAGTAAATTTTCTGCGTCGGCCGCGCAGCGGGGGAGGCGCGCTAGAGGGGACGCGGCCCGGCATGAGCTGATTGCGGGTGGATACGCCGCGGACGGGCTCCTAGAAGCCGTGAGGAGCCGCTTTTCTCCGAGTCGCCGCCCTACCCTTGGATTTGAGATCATGTATGTACGCGTCGCGGTCCTGCCATTGTCTCTACCCCAGCGCGTGCCGTGCGCCCCTGGGCGAGGGGCTCATGCCCATCCCCGCTGTGCGCTGTCCCCCGCACTTCCTGTTGGGATGAAAGAGAGCCTCGCGCTGACCACGCGCCTTTTCTCCCCCTCGCCCCCGTCTCTGCCGTGTAGGTCCATTCACATCGTGGCGCTGGGGAACGAGGGGGACGCGTTTCACCAGGACAATCGGTCGTCGGGGCTCATCCGCACTTATCTGGGGAGAAGCCCTCTGGTCTCAGGGGACGAAAGCAGCTTGTTGCTGAACGCGACCAGTACGGTAGCGCGTCCCGTGTTCACGGAGTATCAGGCCAGCGCGTTTGGGAACGTCAAGCTAGTGGTCCACGACTGTCCCGTCTGGGTAAGGGCCCGCAGCTGCTCTGTGCAGAGGCTGATGGAGCTTTCCTTTTCTTCCTTTCTCTCTTTTTTTTTTCTCCTCCCCCTGTTTCCCCTTTCATGAATGTGGACGTCTGGGTCACCTGGGGAGAGTTTTTAAACATTTGGGGGAAAATCTTTGGTCCTTCGTTTCATTGGGCAGGGGCCAGCCTAGTCAGAGAACACTCTTAGAAGGGAAAAAGCCCCAGTGGGAATGTGAAGCACTTAACGCGCACACTTCACGACTCTGGGTTGTCCCTTGGTAGACAGCTGACTGAATGTCCCAACCCCAAGGAACGAGGTCACTAAGTGTCACCAGCAGACAGCAATGTTTTTTCATGCCTACCCTGTGGGTGATATAAAATATTAGTGTTCTAAAAATAAAGGTCTCTGAAAGCTCAACACAGCAAAAATACATTTCACTGGGGCAGCTCAGAAATAGGACCCCTGGAAAGGGGGTGGGAAAGACAGGGACTGAAAATTAATTCTAAACAATTCTTTTATAGCACTATCCACCTTTGAAAAAATTTAATTAGTGTTTTTAATTTTAATAATGCAGATATTCTTAATATATTTAGCCATTTCTTTTAAGTGACCTGTAAATCAGAAATATTGCTAATACTGTTTTGGGACTTGAAAAAGCTTTAAAATTTGCTATAATTAAAAGAAATCGTAATGAAGTTGATAAATGCTAGTCTAATTCTTGAGTGATAAAAGAAGAAATCTACTCTCTGACATGTATAAATGTTTTCAGTACACAATAGCATCATGTTTTGAATGTTTTCATGTAATCTTACTCGAAAGTTTCTGATTCTTTACTAGTATAAAAGTTATGTTGCAGCTAAGTATTATATTTTATAACAGAAGAAAGTTTAATGTCTAAAAAAATACAGATATCATTATGTGAGATTTACATTTAAACTGCACTTTAAGAAAACCGAATTAGAGACTATAGGGAACTAATACACCTTTCCAAAGAAATGTATAGAATGTACATAAAAACATTTCTTATGCAAATTTCCATATTACTGAAAGAAAAGATCACTTGCCCAAATAAATTTTCAGCTAAAGTAAATTTAATAGGCTAAAATAAATGAAAAATGGGCTTTTTCAATAACAGGGATGCTATTAAATTCCTAATTATGACAATGATGATGCTGATCATAGGAAGCATTGGTAGAGAACTTACTGGCTGGAGTCCATACAAGCAAATGAAACCCTTCTTTTACTTTGGTATTTTCATTGTGAAAAATCTTACAGTCTAAAAACTAATTGGTTATACACTCAGTTGAACAAATGTTGAGTGAATAGAGTAAATAAATGTAGGGAA